CTTAACTGTTTTCACCTGTGCTAAAACGGCTGCTGGCCTGCGACAAACTGCTCACCGAGCACTAGCCAGGAAGCTAGTTCCTGGCTAAAATGAAAATTAGGACTCTACCCCGCTCCTCTCACTCAACGACCCGACGGGCGGACGGGCAGCTCCCGAAGGTCTAAGCTAACAACACCCGCCCCCGGCCCGCAGGGCTGAAGGGTAGGAACTGTCCGGGCCGGTTGCCTTCCGTTTGCAGACTGAGACATGAAGGAGAAGACAGTAAAAACCGAGTGAGCCACGGTCCCTAACACGCAGCTCTTTCCTTCTCAACTCGCGGAACAACTCGACTTCAGACATCTCATTTTACGAATAAGTAAACCGAGGCCCAGAGACTGGGAGAGGGTTGTTGGGTTTTTTTCCTTCTAAACTCGCGGCCCAAGGGCGCGGGCAGTCAGAATCAGGAGGTAACTTCGGATTCTCCTCGCGGGCCACCGGGTTCCCCGCTGGGTGAGCCGCTGAGCGCGCACGGGAGCCCGCTTCTCGGACCCCGGCGGGCGGCGGGGCTCGGCGCCGCGGCTCGCCCACCTTTCCCTCGCAGGTCACCCCGGGAGCCTGTGGACCGATCGTTTTGACCTACTATTTGATTTTAATGATCTCCCTTCCCTCGACGTGCTGAGAGGGCAAAGACTTGGTTCCCACACACCCGGGCGATGGGACCTCTGCGCTCCCAACGCCTCCCTCTGGCCCCAGCTCAGACGTCAGCACCCCGGAGAAACGCCTCACCCTGTCCCATCCGCCCGCTCTTGAGAAGTGCGGTGGAGCCCGCATCCACCGATGCCTTAGGGCCCTAGTTGCCTGGTTACTGTCAGCTGTCCCTCCAGACCGCGGTCCCGCAGCGCAGAGAGCCGTCTCCCGCCTCCCTGCACCTGGCGCCATCCGGGGGTGCACACACGGCTGGTGCACAGTAAAGTTGTGGTGAAGTTAGCCTTTGACGAGAGCACCCCTGGCTCTCCTCCCCGTGAGCCCCCCCCCCC